TAGTAATATCACTTTCTCACTTTACCACAGTAAGAGCACTCCTGCCACTACTTTACATGCATGTGGAAAGTTAACACAGTGAGGCCATTGTAATGGGAGACATTAAACAAATAGTGAGGCTCCTTCTGCTTATCAGGGATGTAAATCCTTAGGTGACGGCCAAGCAGAACACAAGGTCATAATTCTCTCTGTGAGGGAGGAGGTATAGCCCCCCATGAGAGGGGCCAACATGTAAGAGTTTGAGGAATGTTCTTTGTCTGTGTCTCTGTATGTAAGATGTAAGGCCGGTGGCCACAATTCAGAGATAGTCCTGGTGTTTCACTGGGATGCTCTCTCCACATTGCAATGTGTTTATTAAACCCACTTCAAATCAAGTTCACTGAGTGTGTTGCAGGTTATTGTTAAAATTTCCATAACACATTCAACATCAGAAACTTAATTCTTCAAACCATTTATTCAAGTGGCTCTGCCACAGAAGCCAAGTGCATACAACTGCATTTCACAAACAACAAACAAACAACAACAGCAAAAACTGATGATGTGTGAAATGTGAATAAAAACAGAATCCAATGATTTGCAAATCTCAGAAACCCATATTTTAGAGCATAGAAAACATATCAGATGTTTAAACTGAGAACTTTAAGAAAGATATTAGGTCATATTGAATTTGATGGTAGTAATATATCAAACATTTTGAAGGGCACAAAGAAAGGATGGAAAAGTGAGACTACAAAGAAACAGCTGCAGGAACATTTTTCAAATTATGAAGACTATGTCGTCATCTACATCAAAATATTTAGTGAATCTGGAGAAATCTCTGTGTGCAAGGGAAAAGAACACATTTCATTATTGTATGCCCATGATCTTCAGGCTTTAGGCACCACTGCATTAAAAAAGGCTTTATTTTGTCATAGAAATCACTGCACTGCCCTTCCAGAAATGTACTACTCACAAATGCAGGTTAAAGCTTGATCATCCAAAGAAGCAGCCATGTGTGAACACTATCCAGAAATGTCACCATCTCTTAAAAAAGCTCATTAAAAATGGATTGAGGGAAAGTGGAAAACTCTGGTCAGACAAATCAAAAGTCAAAATTCTTTTTGAAAAACACGGATGCTCCATCCTCTGTACTAAAAAGGTGGGGGCCATCCAGCTTGTTTTCTTGTTGCTTGTAATCACCTGCTCATTCTTACTCAGTCTCTTTTCACTTCTCCTTGTCACCTGCTCTGTGCACCCACAGAAAACACACTCACCTGGAAACTAGCTCAACTGTCGTCTGTGGAAACCTCCAGCTCTACCTGCTTGCATCTGTCATCTCCGCAAACTCTTAGATACCCACCAGCTGCCCACAAACTACTTCCATTCACTCTTAACTCAAGTGAAACTGTTAATAACCACCTGGATTTCTCACATGAATCATATTCCTGTTTAAGACTCCAGTTAAGCTCTTTGTCTCGTCTCTGATGGAACTCCCATGTTCAAGCATGTAGTGCTGTTGAATCTCCAAGCCAAATGCCCTCTATCCGTAAACCAATCACTCCTTAACAATAAACACTCCAAACCTGCCAGCTGCTGTCGGAGTTTGTTCTCGGGGACTGCTTTTTGCCAAAAGAAAAATCCCCCACAGCTTCCAAGTAGAAGAGTCCGGGTGCTCAGCTGGCCTTCCTGCAGTCCAGACCTCTCAGCAATTGAAAACATTTAGAGCATCACAAAATGAAAAATGCGATAAAGAGCACCCAGGACTACTGAGTAGCTGCGGGACAGGATTCCTCTTACAAATGTCCAGCAAATTCTGTTTTATGGACTGTTGTTTAAAGAGGGAGTAGTACAGACTGGTAAACATGGCCCCATCCCAACTTTTTGACACACGTTCCTGCCAGCAAATTCAAAATGAGCTAAGAAGTTTTTATAACACATTGTGGAAACAATACTGGAATCCATATTACAAGAGCTAATAGTTTCTGTAGTACCTTTTACAGTTTTCTGACAGGCAGCCTATCCAGGGTATCAGTCTATCACAGAGCTGAGAGCTGGGATAGGCTCCTCTAACTCTTTTCTCAGTGCCTGCAGAAATCCCTCTAAAACCAGACAATCGGCTGATCCAACTTATGATCAGATAATTGTAATCTGTGAAGGACAGAAAGAAAGTGATACGGTTTCTCATCACTGGTTGGCTGCACTGCCCAAACTAATAAGAATTAAAATCTAACGAGAAGTCAGAGAAGCTCATAAAGTCATAAACAGGACAAATTAATTTGGGTTTTTTTTAAACGATATTAAGCAGCCATGAATTTTATTTATTATCAGAGTAGGCTCCTTTAATTAGATTCATCACAAACACAGGTGGGATTAAGAAGGATTTAGCTTCTTGAAGCGAGTGTTGTTGTGATTTGGTGCTATATAAATAAAATTAAACTGAATCAGCAGTGGTTGGCATAGCTTGACATCAACTTTGTTTTAAAATAGGTTCAAACGTGTTAATATATTTTTTCCTCCACTCAGGAACTGTTTTGTAAGAAATTAAACAATCATAAATAGCCTACTGCATGGCAGCCACATGTAGTTACCTATTAGTAATGTTGATTGGTTCATTGCTCTTATGTCTGGTTAATAAATAGAACTAAACAAATGTTATTTTAATCTTAATATTATTTTATTTGTTGTTTTACATAAAACCCTCAATATTTCTTTATTCTAAGCTTTCTGTTGGATGATGGTGGAAAAATACTGGGTTTAAAAAGCTGAAGGTTTCCTTAAAAGTTGACTTTGTATTTATAACCTGAACTCTGTTCAGGTTGCTGAAACCCCAAATCCCCAGAAACATTACTCAATACATGAAGTCGTGTTCTTTCAGAAGTACAGCTCTGGAATTAAGTGAGCCATTCCTAAATTGATTCCCACATGAATATCAGGGAACAAAATCTGAAGACCAAAAAAAAGAAAAAGAGTCCTGTATTAGACAGATGAATAGGCTAACAGTCGGTTTCTTTATCCTTTTCTTTAAATGAATTACTATCATTAAGATTGACATGACAAGTCTGTCCATGAAATTTAGCTGCCATCTGTGCTCTGTCATAGCAATGAGTGTAGCATCTCTTGGTGCAACACTTCTCAGTCTTGCGCCGCTGAATCACGAACATATCACTGCAAAACACATTTAGAAAGGAAGCTGACCTTTTTGAAAAGGGCACTCAGCCATAAGCTCACAGAAGCCTTGTGGCCACAGAAGTAAACCTGTTTCTACTATTAAAGTCAGAGCTGAAAGGAAACAGTTTTTATAATGTCACAACCAAACAGTGTGGAACCAAAGAAATGTAACATCATCAAGAGTCTTCATATACAACTATAACATTTGTAGCATCATAAATGATTTTCAAATATGTAAATAGGACTTGATGTTAGTTAACTTATTTAAACTTGCAAATGTGCTAATACACCAAACATATCTGCCCATGCGTCTGAATTTAAATCAAGTGCAGAATTATTCACTGCATTAATGATTATGTTTAAACACTTACAAACCAAAGCAGTCTTTAACTGGTCTTAGTCAGAGTGCTTTTGCTGTCTAAACATAAAAATATATATGTATATGAACAGGATTCAGCATCTGAACCATGGACTACGGTGATTACGTCCACCATTCACCCTAAACATCACTGTGGCACTTTATTCTATCAAAACTGCGGAAATACTTGTATTATAAAAAAACAATTTTTCCAAGAAATTCCCACTGTTCAGCCATCAATGGAATTTTTAATCACAATCAACAAAACACTTTAGCAGGATAAGAGAAGGATACTGGGTTGAGCTTGTCAGACTTAGCCAAAGTGATAAAACTGTTCTTTCACAAAAATAGCATTAATACTCCCTTTTTTAATCACTTAACACACAGATGAATTAAGCTTTCAAGTTCTTCTTACTGTGCAATTTGTGTTGATTAAAGTGTTTGCAAGTAACAATTTTACAGCAGTGACTTTGAGTACCAGTAATGATCATGTTGAAAAGCTTTACTCTGGAGCCTTTGGCACATTTGTTCAATGATCTTTTGTCATTTTTGAAGCTATGTGAAACTGTAATGAGACAAGTGGGGACATTATCTCGATTAAAATCAATTCCTATTGGATTATGCCATGCTACATTCCCCTGCGCGGCTCACATAATTAGAATAAAGCACAGAAACGGAAATCAGAAGTGAGAAGCCTCATCAAAGCGGTACATGTGCAGGCATGGGTGACTTGACACATAATCACGAGTGTTCTCTTTGTGTCCTCAGACAGTGCTGTGAGCATTGTATTATCCTGCAGGTACTGCAGAAGCAAAGACTATCACTGTAATGCTTCACTTTGAAACAAATGTGGTGACAGACAAAGTAAATGTCCTGCAAATTGCTGCTCATAGAAACTGATACCAAAGCTGAAGCATTTTCTGGTGGTAACAATAGCCTGTTTCTTAGCTGGTCAGACCAGTCAGAATGAAGAAAGAAAGAAAGAACCAAGAAGAGCTGAAAAAAGGAAGGAAGAAGAGAAATAAGGGAAGAGGGATGAGAATGAAGAAGGAAAGTAAATAAAAATTAGGGAAAGAAAAATGTAATGCGTAAAATGCAGAGAAAACAGAAAGAAAGGAACGTAAAGAAAAAATACTGAAGTACTGAAGGAACAAAGATGAGCAACAAAAAATTCCCAATGACAGAACTAAAAGAAGAGGGGGGGGGAAGTGAGGTAAGAGAAAGGAGATGTTAACGTGTAGAATGAAAAGATAAAGGAGCAGGGAAGTTAAAAGGAAGGGGAAGTGATCAAAAAGTATACAAGAAATGAAAGAAAATATATAAAATAGTTTAAGAAATTATAAAAAAAAATGTGTTTTAAACCCAAAATGGTCAAAAGAGTGAGCAGGGGAAAAGAAAAGAAGGAAGAACGGATGGAGCAAGGGAAGAAGGGAAAACACAACTGGGGGGTTAAAGGTGGAAAATGAGAAAAAAGAAAGAAAGAAAGAAGGAAGGAACGAAAGTAAGGAGACTAAAAGGAAAGAAGGACGGAGCAAGGGGGGACTGAAGGAAGCACAACAAGGCATGCGAAAAGGGGTGGGAAGGAACGAATGAGTAGACATGTGCGAACAAAAAGGGGAATGAAAGGATAGGAAAGAGGCAGTAAGAAAAAAAGAGAGGAAAGACCCTAGAGTGAAAGAAGAAAGGGAGCGAACTAATTCATTTTCACGTCGTCGCTTCTGTCCCGTGCAGGCTCGCTGTGCTGCGCGAAGATCGTCAGAAAACTCGTTCAGGCTGCCGTTAACCCTCAAACCGTCAATACGCACGGCACATTCTTCAACACGCTGAGCTTTAACGCCACCGGCGGCCCATCCCGCGCCTTACAGGCAGAGCTGCCCCGAGCACACGACAGAGAAGCACCCAGCGGGGCATCACAGGCACCGAGTGCGCTCGACAGGCACCTGAGGGGAGGTGAAAAACGCGCCTGCGGTACGTACCGGTCGAGGACCATGGACAGCGCCGGCAACTGCTCAGAAGCGGATCAAAGGAGCCAGCTGTGCTCGTTTTATAATGGCAGCAGCTTGTGTGGGAACTTCACCGACAACACAAGCTTCGCCGAGGGGAGTAGAGGGAACAACATGGAAATCGACGCCAATCCGGTTATCATAGCGATTGCCATCACCGCTCTTTACTCCATAGTGTGCGTCGTGGGGCTGGTTGGAAACGTGCTGGTCATGTATATCATTGTCAGGTAAGGCGATTTAAAAAAAAGAATGAAAAGAAAAAACTCTTACACTGGTTTGAGTGGATGTTTGTTCTCAGACTTGTTGCACACAATCAGAAATGACTTCCAACATTAATTCACGGGTGTGTGTTTTCGTCGTGTGTTTTTATGAAGCCGTGGGAAACCATGTGCTTGCGGTGTTGACAGCGCTGCGAGCACAGCTGCCGTTCGTGCGTAAAAATGCCTCCAACAACGCAGCAAATTGCTACAGCGCCAAAACCCGAGCTGAGCGAAAAGAAAGGAGGGAAAGAGAGAGAGTGAAGGGAAGAGGAGGTGTGCACAAAACACACTACTTTTCACTTTAAAACAGTGGCAGCTGACATCTCTTCATCTGTCGCTTTTAACCACGAGCAAAAATGATGTGATGCTGTGACGTGATGACAGCACGCGCCATGTAAGTCTCGTGCGAACGCACACTCCCCGTTCAATGCTGCTACCTTCTTGTGCGCAAAGGCGTCGGTGTCTTGTGTTCGAGCAAATTCAACGAAAGTCTAGAAATAGTTGGGAATGGTGTTAAAGCAAACACCTGCTAATATAAAGCCTGCAAGTGCTAAAAGTTAAACAGGTTGCCCGGCTCTGAATCCACACATTAGATGAGCAGATTTGTGGATATTTGCTTTCTAAAAACAGACATAAGCTATGTGTTCAAGCATGTTCTCTGTTGCTTCTTACGTATAGATAACCAACCTCCTTGCCAAATTTCATATATCATGTTCAAGTCTCACTGATACATCTATCTAAAATGCCTTCCCTTCACGGGGTCAGCTTTTATCATTTCAATCACTTGGTACAAGAAGCACAGGGTGATCATACATGTTTAGTCCTACAGACTTAAAATCCGAGGCCACTTGCCTTTTTATTGTCAGTGTAGACCAACTGGAATAATAGAAATAGTCTTAGTTTCATTGTGTTCATTGGTTCACCACTGATTAAAAAAAACTTCCACCTACTTCAGTGGACCTCACTGTCAGAAGCAGGATTTCACTGGCCTTTAATTACACATGAACCCCTGACATTTATATCAGTTAAATGCTCCCTGGTGTTGTGGATTTGTTTATATATCACATATATATCAAAATATATACTTGTATGCATTATATATATATACCTGCACTGGAGTTTTTATATAATGGAATCACTGTGATAAGCATTTAACCTACATGTTTAAAATCACAAGACCCACACATCTGGGTCAAATATTATCCACAATTATATTAATGAAGTTTATGCCACTTGTTGTATGAGCATATGTGATTAATACTGTCTGAAATGAAGTAATTAGGATCAACAAGTAACCTTTCATTGTCTTATGGCCAACGGTGACAAGTCCAAACAGGGTTAAATAAACTTGGCCCTGCTAAGATGTACCTGGGAGCCTCTCTGCCTGTCTTCGTTGCCAGAAGGTGGTGAACCGCCCATCTTTAACCAATATGGTAAACAAACTTGGCCCGGCTGAGAGTGCACCTGGGACACTTTTTGCCCATCTCCGTTGCTCAAAGTTGTGAAAAACCTTTCCTTAACGGATATAGTGGCAAACCCCAGGCAGCAAACCTGACAAAGTTGTCAGGAGGATTCATTGTTTTGTCTCTGCAATCGGTTTGATATCTGTAGTTTTGCTGACTTTTGGACTCGATCTGGCCATAAAACTGTCAAAAGGATCCAATTAAAAATGATAGATGCTGGGAACAGTGCTCAGAAAGTTATGGAGTAGTGCCAGAAAGTTGTGTAACGCAAGTGTCGGAGATTAAAGAAGGGACAAAGTGCAAATTGACAACTGATTGGGGAAAAGTATTGACAAATATATTACATCAATAATTGGGGGTGTTGTGTAGAGTTAGAAAATACTTATTAGTTTAAATTTAATTCGGTCACTGACCCTATGAAATGATGGGTCAGATGCCATCTTTTAAAATTTGCAACTCAACACTAGCCACTGGAATGCTATCTTATTCCAAACGAGGCTCGTTTAGGTAATAAAAAGAAGCTGGACTGGTGGAGCAGGATGAGGATGTAAAAAGCAAGAATACCTTAAGGGCTGAGGGAACAAAAACTGCTTGGCAGCCAGTGGTGAAAGTTAGGAGTGATTGCCTGCTTAATTGGTCCAGTAGAGTCATTGAAGTGTGACAGTGCAGAGAATTTGCCTTCATGCAAGTGATTGCCGAGGTGACTTCTCTGGCTATGTTGACTCCCTTCACTGCTAATAGAATATATAACACTTATAATTCTCCTCACTTGTCCACTAATTCAAGGGCAGGTGAACGCTCATGCACACATCATCCCCACACTAATTGCAGTCTAATTGCTTCCTGAAATACATCTGTTTTCCTAAAGAATGCGCATATCTACGCCGGATGTTTTTTCCTCTCTCCCTTTTTTTTCCACATCTGTGCCGGATGTTTCCTGCACCAAATCACTTGCAGCGAATCTTCTCCCTTCTGCCTCCATAGCAACAAACCTGAGTGAAAAACAAAGGAAGAACAATGCAAAACTGTAAAATGTCTTCTGATGTCTGGCATTTATCAGTTGGTGTGTTAAAGCCATCAACACAGACTGTATATGGTGAAGGGCATCACTTTCTCATCCTTGGCTGTTTTACCAAAGCATAATAAAAAGGAACCTACCCAATGATCCCTGGCTCCTCTCCATAGTAATCAGAAGGCTGTAAGTCCTAATCCTGACAGGCAGCCTGGAGCCTGCGCAGGCACTTCTGTGACCGAAAAAGTTTTAAGGATTTTTGCAACTTTTTGAGCAAATGAGACTTTGTGGGAATTGCAAGGACGCTAGAAAATATGTTTAATTTTCACAAAAACCACAGTCCACCAGGGTCATTAGCATTCATTATTCTCTTTGTCTTTCTCCCCTTCTCTGCATGTCTTATGCTCTTTTCTTTCTGTCAGCAGATTGAGAGTGAACTGCTATTTAGCTAATGATACACTGTGGATATTTACTTGCAAACAGAAATGTAGTTTTGAAATCTCTGTCCCCATCGAGTCGTAGTTGAAAGTAGTTTGTTGAAATTAAAAAAGAGATATCAGCTGCTGAGGGATATTTTCTCCCGCTTGCAGTCTGAATAATGATAACCTTAACGCTAAAATTTTTTATCTCTCTTTCACTCTTTATCTCTCTGTCCTCTTGCTGACTCTTATGGCCCTTCACAAAACTCTGCAAACATCTGCAAACATCCGCAAACTTCTCGCAAGCAAACAGACATTAACTGAGATCCGCACGCTCAATCGGGAATATCGATTGCGGATGAACAGAAACTGCTGGGCTCCACAAGGAGTGTGCTGCCGGCGCTGAGTGCTTCCTGTTACCATGGAAACGCAAGGAGGTGTTTTGAGCGTGATGAGTGCAAAGTGACTCCATCACCACCAAACCGAACCCCATCTATCCTCACGAGGAGCTAGACCTAGTTGGGCACATTTATCAGCTTTCAGTGTTTCCTAAACTGTAATCGATTGAACATCTGCAGGCTGACAGGCTGACCTGCATGCATCCAACCACTGCTGCTTCCTCTGTACTGCATATAGCTCCACAACAGATGGTAGAATTCTGATGGTACTCTAACACTCTAAGTTCTGCATATCCCCATTCATACAAGAGCTTCTCTCCAGTGACATGAAACATGAAGAATCTATAAAAAACTAATTGGTTGGGTCCCTGCTAATGGGTTTTTCATAGCTACCTGAAAAGCTAAAACAAGATAAGAAACACACACCTTGGTATGTGCTTTATTGCTGAGCAAGCAACGGTCAAAAAGATATGCTTAACAAGCATATTTTCAAAATCTAAATGGTATTGCCTTTTAAATTCAGTCTGTAAAAGGCATTTTGGCCTCGCAGGCCTTATGTAAGATTTCACTTTGGTTATTCCAGAGAGATTAAATGTCTGTTTCAGAATGAGTTAGACAAGTAAGTCTAGTTTTTTGTAATAAAAATCCCCTTTGTGTTAATCTTCTCTCAGCAAGAAGCACTGTAGGGAAGGGCCAAGAGGGTAATGGTCCCAAAACAACTACAGTTCAAAAGAACTACTTGATGTGTATAACCAAGACTAGCTTCAAATTGACTTTATCTGAACTAAACAGATCCCGGGGGCCTTTACTTCAAGTCTACTGTAGTATGGAGAGGTGGAATAGTTAGATAATTAAGCTTTAAATGTACAGTGCTTAACAAATTTGTTAGACCATCTGTCATAAAACTGGAAAACACAAATATTTTAGAAATCTAGGAAAAGCATGTTTAAAACGAATCATTTCATTCTTATTTATTATATAAATAACAAACTGAGTTTACATTTTTATCATCAAATTTCAGCTTCTTAGAAGTCAGAAGTTAGTCAAGCAATGCATTCAACCACTACAACTAATTTTTCTGTTCAGGAATGCAAATAAATAACTGAAATTTTTATTATGTGTTCTTTTTTGTGAAACTATGAGTTTGAAAATTCAGAGATTATTTATTATAATAATGATATTTTAGATTTTTAAAAATCCTTTCTGTTAACGAGCTTGTTCATACTGGTAGAGCTACCATTGCACCTGATGGTGGCCAAATAAATGTTATGCACTATGTTAGTGGACACAGCAGCTCCTTTAAAACAGCTGCATTTTGTGCAGAATAAAAATCTGACATTGTGTTACAGATAGTAACCAACAATTAGCAGGAAGTGGATTGTTCGGGAGGAGAATGACCTGTACCTCATTAATACCAAGTTGGTTGCTGGGTATGCATACTGAAAAAGGCGAAAAACTGCAGGAGCCCTCAAGATTGACTTGTTTTTCTCTAGATCTTAAATGTTCTCTCTGATGAGTGTCGGTAGGTTGTGGTGGCTTGGGAAGCAGACACCTTTCATGTGAATTTTTGAGCATCCTCATGCATGATAGATGTGACTTCTAAAGCCTCTTTATAAAACAGATTTGTGAGAACGTTTGATCTTCCTGTAACTTAAGCACAAAAACCACATATAAA